GGAAATAAACAAGAACAAGAATTAGATAGAAAATAGAAGAAAACCCAGAGGGGTGTGTATATATATGCTTGTACAGTGGACCCCCGGTTAATGATATTTTTTCATTCCAGAAGTATGTTCAGGTGCCAGTACTGACCAAATTTGTTCCCATAAAGAATATTGTGAAGTAGATTAGTCCATTTCAGACCCCCAAACATACATGTACAAACGCACTTACATAAATACACTTACATAATTGGTCGCATTTGGAGGTGATCGTTAAGCGGGGGTCCACTGTACATGTATGTGTAGTGTGACCTAAGTGTAAGTAGAAGTAGCAAGATGTATCTGAAATCTTGCATGTGTATGAGACAGAAAAAAAAGACACCAGCAATCCTACCATCATGTAAAACAATTACAGGCTTTCGTTTTACACTCGGCAGAACGGCAGTACCTCCCTGAGTGGTTGCTGTCTAGCAACCTACTACCTACAATTATCATCAATACCTATACTATTATTGGTAGTAGGCTGGTAGATAGCAACCGCCCAGGGAGGTACTACCGTCCTGCCAAGTGAGTGTAAAACGAAAGCCTGTAATTGTTTTACATGATAGTAGGATTGCTGGTGTCCTTTTTTCTGTTTCACAAACATGCAAGATTTCAGGTACGTCTTGCTACTTCTACTTACACTTAGGTCACACTACACATACATGTACAAGCACATATACACATACCCCTCTGAGTTTTCTTCTATTTTCTTACTAGTTCTTGTTCTTGTCTATTTCCTCTTATCTCCATGGGGAAGTGTTGTAAGAGGTGACTAAAATGCCAGGAGCAAGGGGCTAGTAACCCCTTCTCCTTTATATATTACTAAATTTATAAGGCAAAACTTTCGTTTTTCCTTTTGGGCCACCTCACCTCAGTTGGATACAGCTGGTATGTTGAAAGAAGAAAAGGAAAGAAGACCTATACTATTATTATTAACCGCTTCACTGGCCGTGCTGCAGTACTACGGCTTTGAGGTCACTGGCTGTGGAGTAGTACTACACCATGAGCTCAGCTCACTCAGATAAGCTTTGAATGGTAAATCTGGGCCTAGATATATGAGAATGGGTCTATGCAGTAAGTGTGCACCATATAAAAAAAAAAATCCTGCAGCATGCAGTGCATAATGAGAAAAAAACTGTGACCGTGTTTTTGGTTGAAAACAGTGACTTTGCTGTGTATTTTTGTAAGGATTTTGTAGTTTTATTCTTGGTTTTTTGGTCTCATTTGACAGAATAGAAGATATATTACAGAAATAGAGATGATTTTGAGTGGTTTCAGAACTGAAAATGGCTTGAAATTGAGCTCAAAATAGTGGAAATGTTTGATTTTTACAGATATTCAAGAGTATACAAATCACATCACTCGTCCAATACATGTCCAACTGGTGGGTCTAATATGCATTTATGAATGCACTGATAATGTTTATACATAATTATACATTTACTGCATAACAGTAAATCTTCTATTTTTTTGTTTGAATAAAAATTCTTTGTGTGAATAAAACATCAAAATGGAATTCATGAGTATAGCCTGGGAATGTAACTAATGAACAAAAGAAATGTCATTTTAGCACCAGGAATGCCTGCATTGTTTATTCTGGACCTATCTTGAAAATGGAATATTTTGATATTTGTGTAAAATTGGCCAAATTACCCATTTCTGATCACTTTATTGGATAGTTGAAATAGTTGACTGAGCTCAATCGATAAAATGGAACCCATACTAGTGAAATAGCTAAGAATTTGGTTGACTGGAACAATGTAAGTGGCCTAAAAAAGGACTCAAAGTGGGCAAAATCACCAATGTGTAAATACTGCTGACACAGCAAAATTCACAAAAGTGTAATTTTGTCAATTTTCCATTAAATTTTGTACTTTTTGTTTTAATACCTTCAGAAAAAGATTCTCTGCCGTTTCGTAAGAAAAACTAACATTTATTTTTTGGCAGACGATGCAACATCCCCCCAATGAAAAGCAGGGGTGTCACTAGCACGTTAAGAGACCATGCAATAAGTGTCAGGGGCCCGAGACTGTTCAACTGCCTCCCAGCATACATAAGGGGTATTACCAACAGACCCCTGGCAGTCTTCAAGCTGGCACTGGACAAGCACCTAAAGTCGGTTCCTGACCAGCCGGGCTGTGGCTCGTACGTTGGTTTGCGTGCAGCCAACAGTAACAGCCTGGTTGATCAGGCTCTGATCCACCAGGAGGCCTGGTCACAGACCAGGCCGCGGGGGCGTTGACCCCCGGAACTCTCTCCAGGTAAACTCCAGGTAAACAGTGTGGACAAGTTTCAGATTGGGGATCTGGATAGTGAAAAGGTTAATACCTATACTTTTATTATTATTTATTATTTTTTATTATCACACTGGCTGATTCCCACCAAGGTAGGGTGGCCTGAAAAAGAAAAACTTTCACCATCATTCACTCCATCACTGTCTTGCCAGAAGGGTGCTTTACACTACAGTTTTTAAACTGCAACATTAACACCCCTCCTTCAGAGTGCAGGCACTGTACTTCCCATCTCCAGGACTCAAGTCCGGCCCGCCGGTTTCCCTGAACCCCTTCATAAATGTTACTTTGCTCACACTCCAACAGCACGTCAAGTATTAAAAACCACTTGTCTCCATTCACTCTTATCAAACACGCTCACGCATGCCTGCTGGAAGTCCAAGCCCCTCGCACACAAAACCTCATTTACCCCCTCCCTCCAACCTTTCCTAGGCCGACCCCTACCCCGCCTTCCTTCCACTACAGACTGATACACTCGAAGTCATTCTGTTTCGCTCCATTCTCTCTACATGTCCGAACCACCTCAACAACCCTTCCTCAGCCCTCTGGACAACTGTTTTGGCAATCCCGCACCTCCTCCTAACTTCCAAACTACGAATTCTCTGCATTATATTCACACCACACATTGCCCCCAGACATGACATCTCCACTGCCTCCAGCCTTCTCCTCGCTGCAACATTCATCACCCATGCTTCACACCCATGTAAGAGCGTTGGTGAAACTATACTCTCCTACATTCCCCTCTTTGCCTCCAAGGACAAAGTTCTTTGTCTCCACAGACTCCTAAATGCACCACTCACCCTTTTCCCCTCATCAATTCTATGATTCACCTCATCTTTCATAGACCCATCCGCTGACACGTCCACTCCCATAGGTATTATTAATACCCATTTTTTTTTTTAACAAGTCGGCCGTCTCCCACCGAGGCAGGGTGACCCAAAAAAGAAAGAAAATCCCCAAAAAGAAAATACTTTCATCATCATTCAACTCTTTCACCTCACTCACACATAATCACTGTTTTTGCACAGGTGCCCAGAATACAACAGTTTAGAAGTATATATACGTATAAAGATACACAATATACCCCTCCAAACTGCCAATATCCTGAACCCCTCCTTTAGAGTGCAGGCATTGTACTTCCCATTTCCAGGACTCAAGTCCGCCTATATAAAAATAACCGGTTTCCTGAATCCCTTCACTGTGTGTACAGGTAGAAAGTTGAAAGTGAACATAGAAAAGACTAAGGTGATGAGGGTATCAAATGATTTACATAAAGAAAAATTGGATATAAAATTGGGGAGAAGGAATATGGAAGAAGTGAATGTTTTCAGATATTTGGGAGTTGATGTGTCAGCGGATGGATTTATGAAGGATGAGGTTAATCATAGAATTGATGAAGGAAAAATAGGCGAGTGGTGTGTTGAGGTACATGTGGAGACAAAAAACGTTATCTATGGAGGCAAAGAAGGGAATGTATGAAAGTATAGTAGTACCAACACTCTTATATGGGTGTGAAGCTTGGGTGGTAAATGCTGCAGCGAGGAGGCGGTTGGAGGCAGTGGAGATGTCCTGTCTAAGGGCAATGTGTGGTGTGAATATTATGCAGAAAATTCAGAGTGTGGAAATTAGAAGGTGTGGAGTTAATAAAAGTATTAGTCAAAGGGCTGAAGAGGGGTTGTTGAGGTGGTTTGGTCATTTAGAGAGAATGGATCAAAGTAGAATGACATGGAAAGCGTATAAATCTGTAGGGGAAGGAAGGCGGGGTAGGGGTCGTCCTCGAAAAGGTTGGAGGGAGGGGATAAAGGAGGTTTTGTGGGCAAGGGGTTTGGGCTTCCAGCAAGCGTGTGTGAGCATGTTAGATAGGAGTGAATGGAGACAAATGGTATTTGGGACCTGATGAGCTGTTGGAGTGTGAGCAGGGTAATATTTAGTGAAGGGATTCAGGGAAACCGGTTATTTTTATATACCCGGACTTGAGTCCTGGAAATGGGAAGTACAATGTCTGCATTTTAAAGGAGGGGTTTGGGATATTGGCAGTTTGGAGGGATATGGCGTGTATCTTTATACGTATATACTTCTAAACTGTTCTTCCATGGGGAAGTGGAACAGAATTCTTCCTCCGTAAGCCATGCGTGTTGTAAGAGGCGACTAAAATGCCGGGAGCAAGGGGCTAGTAACCTTTTCTCCTGTATATATTACTAAATGTAAAAGGAGAAACTTTCGTTTTTCCTTTTGGGCCACCCCGCCTCGGTGGGATACGGCCGATGTGTTGAAAGAAAGAAGACTTCTAAACTGTTGTACTCTGAGCACCTCTGCAAAAACAGTGATTATGTGAGAATGAGGTGAAAGTGTTGAATGATGATGAAAGTATTTTCTTTTTGGGGATTTTCTTTCTTTTTTGGGTCACCCTGCCTCGGTGGGAGACAGCCGACTTGTTGAAAAAAAAAAATTATTATTAACACTAATGTCAATAATAAAAAGATTTATTATATACTGTGATAAACTATAGCACAAATTTAATCCTATAAAGAAAACCATGGTCTTCTGTGAAGCAACATATGGCTATCGATAAAGAAAATCATGGCTGCCTATGAGAAGAGTTGCATCTGATGTTTTTGTTGGGGGGCTGTACAACAGCATGGGATCATTAATATTAAAACAATCAAAAAATCCTTAAAATACCTGTGAAATAAACCATGGTTACCAGTTGGAACCCCTGAAGCTTGTGATGCAACCATAGAAAACAGTGTCTGCAACTGATATAACCAACCATGGAATGTCTCTGGACGAGGATGGTCACCCTAAAGACAAGAACACAAGCCTTATGCATTGAGTTAACAAGAAAATTAATAAGATATTGCATTATAAAGGTTAGATCATAAATATACCGAGCATTTCACATTATGCTCAGTACTGTATTAAACATATATAAATATAAATGTATGTATGTATGTTTAGACTTCAGAGAACAAGCAAAATACAGTGGACCCCCGCTTAACGATCACCTCCCAATGCGACCAATTATGTAAGTGTATTTATGTAAGTGCGTTTGTACGTGTATGTTTGGGGGTCTGAAATGGACTAATCTACTTCACAATATTCCTTATGGGAACAAATTCGGTCAGTACTGGCACCTGAACATACTTCTGGATTGAAATAATATCGTTAACCGGGGGTCCACTGTATTTACATTTATCTCAGGCCAGAGGAGACTAGAACCCATGAGCTTTGGGACAAAGTACACAGTACTATACACACCATGCCAGACCAGACAACACTCTGGAACCCACCCAAGCTTGGCATTTGATCCCGAGTAACTGGCACCAGGCTGGCGATTGCTTTTTATCTCCTCTCCTACATGCATTGACCAATGACAGATATTAGAATGTTTAGACTTCATAGAACAAGCAAAATATTTAAAACATTTAAAAAACTAAAATAGAAAATAAACTACTAGTTACCAAAAAATAAAAATAGCAACACTTACCCTATTCTTGAAAGTGTGATGAACATTTTCTCTCTGACAGAGACGATGAATAAGATTAACAAGATCAAGGTTGGGCAGCTGGCCATTAAGACCTTCCACTTTCACATCTATGTGACTCACATGTGAACTATGAAGTTCCAGGTTTATGGCAGCCTGCAATTATTATTAAATGTTATATATTAACAGCATATAAAACTAAGAGGTTGATGAATAAGACAAATATGCAAAACTTGGATATCTTTACAATAGATATGTTGCAGCGAGGAGAAGGCTGGAGGCAGTGGAGATGTCATGTCTGAGGGCAATGTGTGATGTGAATATAATGCAGAGAATTCGTAGTTTGGAAGTTAGGAGGAGGTGCGGGATTACCAAAACTGTTGTCCAGAGGGATGAGGAAGGGTTGTTGAGGTGGTTCGGACATGTAGAGAGAATGGAGCGAAACAGAATGACTTCAAGAGTGTATCAGTCTGTAGTGGAAGGAAGGCAGGGTAGGGGTCGGCCTAGGAAAGGTTGGAGAGAGGGGGTAAAGGAGGTTTTGTGTGCGAGGGGCTTGGACTTCCAGCAGGCATGCGTGAGCGTGTTTGATAGGAGTGAATGGAGACAAATGGTTTTTAATACTTGACGTGCTGTTGGAGTGTGAGCAAAGTAACATTTATGAAGGGGTTCAGGGAAACCGGCAGGCCAGACTTGAGTCCTGGAGATGGGAAGTACAGTGCCTGCACTCTGAAGGAGGGGTGTTAATGTTGCAGTTTAAAAACTGTAGTGTAAAGCACCCTTCTGGCAAGACAGTGATGGAGTGAATGATGGTGAAAGTTTTTCTTTTTCGGGCCACCCTGCCTTGGTGGGAATCGGCCAGTGTGATGATAAAAAAAAATGAAAAAAAAAAATAATGTTTCACTAACCAGTGACTTTATCAAGTGGGAAGATATTATCTTGACATTACAGCTGGTAAGTATAAATGAACTATGGTTTAAATTAACCAATGTAGAAAATAAACATTTTCCTCAATTTCCATGCATGGATTTTTAAGCTTTCCATATTTTTATTCAATACACCATCCCCCTCCCACTGAGGCAGGGTCACTCAAAAATAGATGAAACATGCATTAGTATTAGTATTATTATATTCATGAAAAACACCAAACCCCTAAGGGTCATTCAATGCTGCACAGCAGAGGTGAGCTAAATAGTGGAGAGGGTGAGGTGAAGGTTTTGAGAGAAAGACTAACAGAAAGGATAGGCAGTCACTATTAATGTAACAAATTCATGTCAGTTGCACATTCTGTACCTGCAAGATGACATACAGTACTGTTAGGTAATTAATGCAACATTTTATTGTGGAAACATTTTGCCTTCAATGACACCTGACTAGAAATTATAAAGAACCTAACTGCCTTGAATCATCATTAATCGCTATTTCTAACACAATTAAACAGAATAAAGGCAGTTTCATCATCTCTGAAGTATTAGCAATTCACCTTAAAACAATAAACCCTGCCATTACATAGCTGCTGCTGCTGCTACTACTACCACAAGTCCTACTACAACTACTACTACCACAAGTCCTACTACAACTACTACTACCACAAGTCCTACTACAACTACTACTACCACAAATACTACAACAATTACTACTACTACCACCACAAGTGCTACAACTACTACTATTACCATGTGTACTATAATTACTACTACTACTACCACCACCACAAGTACTACAACTACTATTACAAGTATTACTACTACTACCTACAACAATTATATTATGCTTTGGTTTAGAAACACACATAGGCAAACACTAGGACATATTTGTTAGAAAACGCTTCGGTGGTCCCAGGACTGAAAAGTTTGCTAATAAATATGTCCTAGTGTTTGCTTACATGTCTTTCTAAACCAACTTGTCGGTATATATTACTAAGGTTCACACCATATTATGCTTTGCACCTCACTTTAATACCTATATATACCTCAGTGTCCCTGTATTGTTTGTAATGGCTTGACAAAGCTCCTGGAGAGCAAAGTGCTGCCTGAATACAATGTCACATTAGTTGTTCATGTGTCCTTTTACCTAACATATTGTCGGTAATACCAACATTTTTATAGCATACAGTACTGTGCTGCACACATTATTTATACTCTTACACATGACCTTCTCCATGGGGAAGTGGAAAAGAATTCTTCCTCTGTAAGCCATGTGTGTCATAAGAGGCAACTAACATGCCAGGAGCAAGGTGCTAGTAACCCCTTCACCTCCATAAATTACTAAACTTAAAAAGAAAAATTTTCGTTTTTCCTTCTAGGTCATGGCTAGGATATGGCTGGTTTGTTGGAAAAAAAAAATACGACCTATACTGATCTGACGATTGTGTCATCATCCTTGGTTCTTTGTATTTTCCTTTACAGTATATTTGCTTTTTGCAAACTTGTCACTGTACATTGGCATGTACAGTGACTAATCACTTAACTGAACCAAAGTGAGGAAATTGTCTTCCAATAAATTAGGATTTAAATTAAGCATAGACAAATTTTAGGACAGAATGCCTTCCAAATCAGCACTAATTATTCATGGCAAGGAAGATGAATAAATATATGAAATCCATACCTGTATAGCTCCAGCTCGCCCCTCAAGGTCTCCATGGTCGAGAACTCCAGCGCCACTTTGGGTGCGGTGGTAAGCCTGCAGCCATGCTTGTGCCCCTAATTGCTCATGCTCTGTCACCAAGAAAATCAAGTCCTTTGCCCAGTACACTTGTTCTGTTGTCAGAATGTGAAGAAAAACGAAGGATAACCAAGTTCCAAGAATAAAAAAAACATTTTAATCAATAATTTAAGAACAGTCAGAATTAGTTTTAAGTGCATGAGTAATGGAAAAATGCTACAGAAAAATGAACTAGATTCCAAAATGACAACATTTAATACTGTCCTTACATTGAATATGAATGTTTCACTGCATGATCCAAGAGTACAGTACTGTATTCTCTTTTATTATTGCTGTGTAAGGTGGCAAACTACACGATAATAAAGATTAATTTAGTCTAAACCTTAAACATGATTAACCCTTTGACTGTTTTGGTCGTATATATACATGTACGTCTTACGAGCCACCGTTTTTGACGTATATATACTCATCAATTCTAGCGGCTTCAAATCAAGCAGGAGAAAGCAGGTAGGCCTACATGTGAGAGAATGGGTCTGTGTGGTTAGTGTGCACCATATAAAAAAAATCCTGCAGCATGCAGTGCATAATGAGGAAAAAAAAAAAACTCAGACCGTTTTTTTTAATTAAAATGCTGACTTTGTGGTCCATTTTTGTAAAGTATTTATTGTTGTATTCTCGTTTTTTTTGGTCTCATTTGATAGAATGGAAAACATATTGTAGAAATAGAGGTGATTTTGACTGGTTTTACTATGAAAAGAACCTTGAAATGGAGCTCAAAGTAGGGGAAATGTTTGATTTTTGCCAATGTTCAAAAGTAAACAAATGATGTCATTTTCCAATAAATGTCTAAGTAGCCATTCTAATATGCAGTCATGAATGGGTTGACATTATTTATACAATTATTACAATATTGCAGTAGTCTGCATAACAGTAAATCTATTTTTTGTTTGAATAAAAATTCAAAATAAAAAGCAAGAGTAATATCACAGGGGCCTGGAGACGTGACTGATGAACAAAGAAAATGTTATTTTAGAGCCAGGAATGTCTGCATTGTTCATTCTGGTCCTATTTTGAAATTGTTATATTTTTTAATTTTCGTGAAATTGGCCAAATTGCAAATTTCTGACCATGTTATTGGGTAGTTGAAATCAGTAAATGGGCAGTTTCTTGTACTCAATCGACAGAAAAAATGGAATTCTAAAGAAATATCTATGAATTTGGTCGACTGGAACAATGGAATTAGCCGAAAATAGGGCTCAAAGTGGGCGAAATCGCTGATTCGTAAATATCGCTGAGGTCGCTAACTTCGCGAGAGCGTAGTTCCATCAGTTTTCCATCAAATTTTGTTCTTTCGGTGTCATTACAATCAGGAAAAGATTCTTTATCATTTCATAAGATTTTTTGGGGGGGGGGAAGGGGGGGGGATCCTGTGACACCAGGAGACACCTCAGGATTTGGGGTTGTGACAGTCAAGGGGTTAAATAATTATATTACTGTAAAGGGACATACTCCGCCTCACAACCTGAGTTAAAGCACTATATTTTAAAAATACCATATTCATGAAAGAATAAAATTGTAGACGTACTGGAGAAGAAGTGAGCCATGGCAAGCATTAGAACTATAGATGGTGCAGTACCCTGGAGAAGGGACGATGGGGGACGGTATGGAGCAGAAACTACCACTGCCTCGGTGCTGCTTCCACGTGGGGCTCGTAGAATGCCATAAACATTCTTACCAGAAAAACTCTGCATCAGAAAAAAATATACAGGCATTTGAAAATGAAACTAAAATATTTCCTCCTCTCCAAGTATGATTTATCATGATTCTGCAATTTCTAAAGTATACTTAAGAGGATTTTCATAAAAGCTAAGTGTAACTGGCACTATATGATATCAAGATTTAACTTTCTAACTTCATATATATTTAACAATTTATTAATTATCTTATTACATTCTAAATTCAGCAATTTAAAAAAAAAATGAAGTTGGCCTTTCAATATAATGCATCCTCAAGACAACTCTGTACACCTTTAAGACAACTTACTTAAGATAATTTATGGTATTTCCTTAACCCTCTCAGGGTTTCCAACATACTAGTACGGCTAACGCACCAGGGTTATTGACGTACTAGAATGCCTAAATTCTAGCACCTTCAAATCTATTGAGAGAAAGCTGGTAGGCCTACATATGAAACAATGGGTCTATGTGGTCAGTGTGCACAGTATAAAAAAAATCCTGCAGAACACAGTGCATAATGAGAAAAAAAAAGACTCTGACCATGTTCTTGGTTTAAAACAGCAACTTTGCAGTGTATTTTCGTATGGTATTTATGGTTGTATTTTAGTTTTCCTGGTATCATTTTATAGAATGGAAGACATATTACAGAAATTGAGATGATTTAGATTGGTTTCATAATGAAAAATACCTCGAGATTGAGCTCAAAGTAGCAGAAATGTTCGATTTTTACCAAAGTTCAAAAGTAAACAAATCATGCCAAGCGTCCAATACACGACAACTGGTGAGTCTAATATTCTTTCACAAGTGCGCTGATATTATTTATACCATTTCTACACCATTTATGCACTAATGCAATAGACTGCATAAGAGTAAATCTTCTATTTTTTGGGAGAATAAAAATTCGAAGTGGAAAGCAAAAGAGATGTAAGAGGGGCCTGGGGATGTGACTAATGAACAGAGAAAATGTTATTTTGGGTGCCAGGAATGTCTTTCTTGTTTATTCTGGACCCTATTTGGAAATTGGCATTTTCTGAAATTTGTGAAATTGGCAAAATTGCCAATTTCTGACCACTTAATTGGATAGTTGAAATAGGTAAATGGGTGGTTTCTTGTACTCATTCGATAGACAAAATGGAGTTCTAGCAAAATAGATTTAATTTTTATTGACTAGTACAGAGGAATTGGCCGAAAATAAGGCTCAAAGTGGGCGAAATCGTCGAGACCGCTAACTTCGCAAGAGCATAATTCCATAAGTTTTCCATCAAATTTCATACTTTTGGTGTCATTATGATTGGGAAAAGATTCTCTATCATTTCATAAGAAAAAATAATTTTTTTTCCAAAAAATTTTCGACCCTGAGAACGAGTTTAGGAGAGGGCCTCTCGACCCTGAAAGGGTTAAGACATCTTACAATACTACTTTTTCATGGCAATTTACAGTACCTTCCAAAGTACGTACTTAAGGAATTTCACTACTGCAACTTTATTCAACAAATCATTAGAATCTGCAACTTTCCCAATGATGCTTAAGATAGCTAGGGTTACCCCAATACACAAAAAAGGAAATCTAGCTGAGGTGAATATCCAATTTGCCATTACTATCTAAAATCTTTAAAAAATAATTCATGAGTGAATTTACTCCTTCCTACTATCTCATACTATACTCAACCCCTGCCAGTTTGGGGCAGAGGCTGAATATATTGTAAGCTACATAAAGCTTGAACTGTTTTAATGAAAATAGTAATGAATATCCTCCGGGCCTCATCATAGACTTGTGGAAAGCTTTCGATAAAGTGGACCACACATCTTGCATCTTAAACCAGAACATTATGGGGTCAGAGGTGATACTCTAGCATACCTAGTCTTATCCTAGCAACAGACACCAGAATTTGTCCATTAATGGTGTATCCTCATCAATTTAGCCTGTTGATACAGGAATACCTCAGGGCAGTGTTCTTGGCTCTTCTTCACATATATCAACAATCTCCCCAGTGCATTTCGTCTCCTTGAACCTGCTATGTTTGCAAATGACACAACTTTTGTCATCTCCCATTCAAATTCAACTTCTCTCAACAACACTGTAAACAATGAGCTCCTAAAAATATCTACATGGATAACTACCAACAAACTCACCTTTAAAACCTACTACAGGATATTTAGAAACAGAGCTTCAAATATCCAACTAAAGATACTGATCAATGGTTCCCTCATTGTAAGATACACTGAGGGTATATACTTAGATCTTCACTCTGACTGTAGCTTATCCAGAACATAACTAAGAAGGTCTCCAAAACAGTAGGCATCTTCTCCAAGATATGTTACTGTGTACCTCAAACAGCACTACTTACATCGTATTACTCTCTAATCTCTCATTACCTCACCTAAGGTATTTGTGCTTGGGGATTTATTATGTACATCAAATTACCTAAAAACATTCAACAAAAAGCTCTTATGCAGACTATCACCCATTCCAGTTCCAGACAAGACACTCCCCCCACTCTTCAAAAAACTGAATTTAATTATACTACTGGTCTGAATATCGTACAATTCAGATTTAAACCACTGTTTTTGGCGAATTTTTACTCCGGGTTTCATACATCAACTCAGAAATCATCTGTATCAGATGCGTCCACCCGCCCAGGACGCTGCTGCCTGACTCAGTCTGCCTCTGTCACTTGTCGAGTGAACAACGCGCATTCATCCATTGTTTCTGGTGCTTGTGTATTGAGTGCAACTGCGAAATAAGCCACCATGGGGCCAAAGAAAGTTCAGAGTGCCAGCCCTTTGGTAAAGAAGGTGAGAAACACGCTAGAATTCAAGAAAGAGCTTGTATCAAAATATGAAAGTAGCGTACATGTGGCTGAGCTCACCAGGATGTATGGGAAGTCCAAATAAAAAATCAGTTCCATCCTGGTGAAGAAAGTAAAAATCAAGGAAGCTGATGTTGCGAAAGTGGTAAATATGCTAACGAAACAGAGATCACAAGCAATCGAAGATGTGGAGAAGTTGCTGTTGGTGTGGATCAACAAAAAACAGTTAGCGGGAGTGCAGTGACTCTCAAGCTGGTCCTAGTGCCAGTAAAAGACAAAGAAGGGAAGTAACCCTGGATAGGGCTTTGATACCTGAAGTCCTTATGGAGAGGGATTTCTCTTCCATACAACAACCACTCCTCTCTCTCTCCCCTCCTCGCCTTCTTCCATACGCCAATAAGAGTCTTCAATAAAGGTATGTAATAGTGTTTAAATATTCATTTATCCATTAAAATTAGTGCTTTATATTTATTTCTCATTGTTTTCTGTATGTACAATTATAGTTATTCTCTATAAAATGTGGTTTTTGTTAATATTTTTGGGTGTCTGGAATGGATTAATTAGATTTACATTATTTCTTATGGGAAATGTTACTTCGGTTGTTGTCTAATTCGGATTTCAACCGATTTTCTAGAACAGATTAAGGATGAAAACTGGGGTGCCACTGTATTTTTTTTTTTTTAACAAAACAGCCATATCCCACTGAATAAGAGTGACCTAAAAAGAAAAACAAAAGTTTTTCTTTTTAAATTAAGTAATTTATATAGAAGGGGTTACTAGCCCCTTGCATTTTAGTCGCCGCTTACGACATGCATGACCTACTGAGGAAGAATTCTGTTCTACTTTTCCATGGAAAGTTATATGCTTAATTGTACTATAGTGGAACCTTGGTTTTCGTATGCCCTAGGCTGTACGTAAAACTATAGTTATTCTCTATAAAATGTATTTTTGTTAATATTTTTGGGTGTCTAGAACAGAGTAATTGGATTTACATTATTTCTTATGGAAAATATTAACAAAAAATACATTTTATAGAGAATAACTATAGTTTTACGTACAGCCTAGGGCATACGAAAACCAAGGTTCCACTGCATACATGTTTATATGTATTTTTTTTTTTAACATTTCGGCTGTTTCCCACCGAGGCAGGGTGACCCACAAAGAAACCCCAAAAAGAAAGAAAACTGCAAAAAGAAAGAAAAAACTTTCATCATTCAACACTTTCACCATCACTCATACATAATCAGTCTTTGCAGAGGTGCTCAGATACGGCAGTTTAGATGTCCCTCCAAACTGCCAATATCCTAAACCCCTCCTTTAAAGTGCAAGCATTGTACAGTGGAGCCTTGGTACGCAAACAGCTTCCTACTCAAACAAAGCTCAGCACTCAACCAAACAAACATGACCTGCCAGAACTTCACTGCAAACTACAGCCTCTCCTCACTTAGCAATGTACAAGTTTACTGACGCCTTGGACTTACGACGGGGTCTCTGACCAGTAGTTATACCTAAATAATGTATATTAGAGTTCATTTCCTCTATTCTGTTTATTTCAATATACAATAAACATTTAAAAATATACCAGAAATATTATAAATGGTGTAAAGGTGACATTAAAACAATAACAAAGACGGATGACACAAACCCACTACCATTATAGTATGCTCCTCACTTAGCGATGAATTCATTTAACGATGTGGTCTTAGGAACGGAACTCCGTCGTTAAGTGAGGAGAGGCTGTATTTCATGTTGCTTAACATTTTATGTGTTTTTTTATATTGTTTGTATAAATAAGTCACCATGAGGCCCAAGAAGGTCAGTGATAACAACCAACCAAAAAGAAAATTAGGTGCAAAGAATTTGTTTGATACTCGAACGGATCGGCACTCGAGCAGCCTTCTGGAATGAATTACATTTGAGTACCGATGCTCCACTGTACCTCCTATTTCCAAAACTCAAGTCCAGCTAACCGGTTTCCCTGAATCCCTTTACAAAATATTACCCTGCTCACATTCCAACAGTTCATCAGGTCCCAAAAACCATTCGACTCCATTCACTTCTATCTAACATGCTCATGCACACTTGCTGGAAGTCCAAGCCCCTCACACACAAAACCTCCTTTACCCCCTCCCTCCAACCCTTCCTAGGCCGACCCCTACCCCACCTTCCCTCCACTATAGATTTATACACTCTAGAAGTCATTTTATTTTGTTCCATCCTCTCTACATATCTGAGCCACCTCAACAACCCCTCCTCAGCCCTCTGAATAATAGTTTTGGTAATCTTGCACCTCCTCCTAATTTCCAAATTATGAATTCTCTGCATTATATTCACACTACACATTGCCCTCAGACATGACATTTCCACTGCCTCCAGCCTTCTCTTTGTTGCAACATTCACCACCCATGTTTCACACCCATATAAGAGTGTTGGTACAACTATACTCTCATACATATACCTCTTTGCTTCCCTGGACAAAGTTCTTTGTCTCTACAGACTCTTAAGTGCACCACTCCCATTTTTCCCCTCATCAATTTTATGTTTCACCTCATCTTTCATAGACCCATCTGCTGACATGTTCACTCCTAATTATCTGAATGCATTCACCTCCTCCATACTTTCTCCCTCCAATCCGATATCCAATCTTTCATCACCTAATTTTTTTGTTATCCTCATCACCTTACTCTTTCCTATATTCACTTTTAATTTTCTTCTTTTACATACCCTACCAAACTCATCCACCAACCTCTGCAACTTCTCTTCACAATCTCCCAAAAGCACATTGTCATCAACAAAGAGCAACTGTGACAACTCCTACTTTGTGTTAGATTTTTTATCATTTAACCCCACACCTCTTGCCAAAGCCCGAGCAATCACTTCTCTTACAACCCCACCTATAAATGTATTGAACAACCATGGTGACGTCACACATCCTTGTCTAAGGTCTACTTTTACTGGGAAATAATCTCCCTCTCCTACACACTCTAACCTGAGCTTCACTATCCTCATAAAAACTCTTCAGTTTTCAGTAGCCTGCCTCCTATTCCATACATTTGCAACATCTGCTACATTGCCCCCCTATCCACGCTGTCATATGCCTTTTCCAAATCCATGTATGCCACAAAAACCTCTTTACCCTTATCTAAATACTGGTCACCTATATAAGAACATAAGAAAGAAGGAACACCACAGCAGGCCTACTGGCCCATGCGAGACAGGTCCACGTCTCCTACCAGCTTAAGCCAATGCCCCAACCTAGTCAGGTCAGGTTACATTCACTTAAGGAAGGAACACGGCAACTAACCTAGTAGCACAAGCTAATCAGGTCCAACTTACACCCACTCATGTATTTATCTAACCTATTTTTAAAACTACACAACGTTTTAGCCCGAATAACTGTACTTGGGAGTTTGTTCCACTCATCCACAACTCTATTACCAAACCAGTGCTTTAAATAACAAAAAGGCACAATACCGTGACTGGAACGATACACAAATAACCCGCACATAAAAGAGAGAAGCTTACGACGACGTTTCGGTCCGACTTGGACCGTGTGACTTTGTCAATGGTCCAAGTCGGACCGAAACGTCGTCGTAAGCTTCTCTCTTTTATGTGCGGGTTATTTGTGTAAACCAGTGCTTTCCTATATCCTTCCTGAATCTGAATTTTTCCAATTTAAAACCATTGCTACGAGTCCTGTCTAGGCTAGATATTTTCAGCATGTTATTTACATCCCCTTTATTTATTCCTGTCTTCCATTTATACACCTCAATCATATACCCCCTGATTCTATGCCTTTCTAGAGAGTGCAGATTCAGGGCCCTCAGTCTATCCTCACAGGGAAGATTTCTGATACATGGGATCAACTTTGTCATCCTCTTTTGTATGTTTTCCAGAGTATTTATATCCATTCTGTAATACGGTGACCAAAACTGTGCAGCATAATCTAAATGAGGCCTAACGAAGGATATATAGAGTTGAAGAACAACCTGAGGACTCCTATTATTTATGCTTCTTGATATGAAGCCAAGGATTCTGTTAGCTTTAATGCAAACATTTATGCACTGTTGTCTTGGTTTCAGTTACTGTAAACACTTGGTCCCTTATTATTATTATTATTATTATTATTATTATTAAATTTTCTTTACCTTATCCTTCCCCATTGGATAATGCAAGGTAAAATTATGGGTGAATGTATCCAAGCCCAACTGGGTGAAATGAGCAGCCAGCCAAGAATACGGCATGCTTGAAGAATGCTTCTCTGCCTCCTCGGTTAAACTCTGAAATAAATATTGAATTATGCATCACTCATAAAGTTATTAAAATAAAGTTATTCAAATAAAAAAAATTGACTTCAATCACCTGGGAAACAAACAGTGAAACATTTTTCTATTAATTTTTTTTTTTTATTATCACACTGGCCGATTCCCACCAAGGCAGGGTGGCCCGAAAAAGAAAAACTTTCACCATCATTCACTCCATCACTGTCTTGCCAGAAGGGTGCTTTACACTACAGTTTTTAAACTGCAACATTAACACCCCTCCTTCAGAGTGCAGGCACTGTACTTCCCATCTCCAGGACTCAAGTCCGGCCTGCCGGTTTCCCTGAACCCCTTCATAAATGTTACTTTGCTCACACTCCAACAGCACATCAAGTATTAAAAACCATTTGTCTCCATTCACTCCTATCAAACACGCTCACGCATGCCTGCTGGAAGTCCAAGCCCCTCGCACACAAAACCTCCTTTACCCCTCTCTCCAACCTTTCCTAGGCCGACCCCTACCCCGCCTTCCTTCCACTACAGACTGATACACTCTTGAAGTCATTCTGTTTCGCTCCATTCTCTCTACATGTCCGAACCACCTCAACAACCCTTCCTCAGCCCTCTGGACAACAGTTTTGGTAATCCCGCACCTCCTCCTAACTTCCAAACTATGAATTCTCTTGCATTATATTCACACCACACATTGCCCTCAGACATGACATCTCCACTGCCTCCAGCCTTCTCCTCGCTGCAACATTCATCACCCATGCTTCACACCCATATAAGAGCGTTGGTAAAACTATACTCTCATACATTCCCCTCTTTGCCTCCAAGGACAAAGTTCTTTGTCTCCACAGACTCCTAAGTGCACCACTCACTCTTTTCCCCTCATCAATTCTATGATTCACCTCATCTTTCAAAGACCCATCCGCTGACACGTCCACTCCCAAATATCTGAATACATTCACTTCCTCCATACTCTCTCCCTCCAATCTGATATTCAATCTTTCATCACCTAATCTTTTTGTTATCCTCATAACCTTACTCTTTCCTGTATTCACCTTTAATTTTCTTCTTTTGCACACCCTACCAAATTCATTTATGATTTATGATTAACACATCGGATGTTTCCAAGTGAGCCAGGGTGACCCGTAAAAGAAGAAACACTTTCATCATCATTCACTCCATCACTGTCTTTCCAGTGGCATGCCAACACTACAGATCAAAAACTGCAACATATCTCCACCCCTGTTTCAGAGCACAGGCACTGTACTTCCCACCTCCAGGATTCATATCTGACTAACTGGTTTTCCTGAATCCTTCATAAATGTTACACTGCTCACACTCCAATAGAAAGTTAAGTCATAAATACCATTTGCCTCCACTTGCTCCTATCTAACATGCTCACATAGGCATATGCAAGTATGTTAGATAATAGCAAGTGGAGGCAATTAGGTTTTATAACTTGAAGTGCTGTTGGAGTGTAAGTAATGCAAAATTTATGAAGAGATTCAAGGAAACTGGTTAGCCAGACTTGAGTCCTGGAGGTAGGGAGTATAGTGCCTGCACTCTGAATGAGGGATAGAGACATTGCAGCTTGAAGAAGCATCTGAGCTTTAGTGTCAGAATGCTTCTGACAAGACAGTGATGAGCAAGTGATGGTGAAAGTAATTCTATTCTTGTCTGGGTCACACTAGTTCGGAGGGAGATAGCCAGTGTGTTTAAAAAATGCATATCTTTCCCTCAAAATGTTAACATTTACTATATCTTATTAAACAAGGTAAAGCTCTTCAGATAATGTACATTAGTTGAAGCTGAGGGAACAATTTAAGTGAAATATCATCCAATAAATGCTTGCTGTGCTGTTTTTCTTCATTTTACACATGGGCAAAGACAGTTGAAATTTTAAGCCAGACTTGAGTCATGGAAATGGGAAGTACAATGCCTGCACTTTAAAGGAGGGATTTGGGATATTGGGAGTTTGAAGGTTGACTTTTAAACTGTCGTATCTGAGTGCCTCTGCAAAGACAGTGATTATGTATGAGGTGAAAGTGTTGAATGATGATGAAAGTATTTTCTTTTTTGGGATTTTCTTTCTTTTTCGGTCGCCCTGCCTCGGTGGGAGATGACCGACGTGTTGAAAAAAAAAATTATTTTAGGTAGTAGGTTGGTAGACAGCAACCGCCCAGGGATGTACTACCGTCCTGCCAAGCGAGTGTAAAACAAAAGCCTGAAACTGTTTTACGTGATGGTAGAATTGCTGGTGTCTTTTTTCTGCCTCATAAACATGCAAGATTTCAGGTACATTTTGCAGGCAAGAGAGATACATGATAATATACACTTGGAAAATCCTAGAGGAATTAGTACCAAACTTGCACATGAAAACTGCTCCCTATGAAAACAAAAGACTCGGCAGGAGATGCAACATTCCCCCAATGAAAAGCAGGGTTGCCACGAGTACAATGAGAGAAAACACAATAAGTATCAGGGGCCCAAAACTGTTCAGCTGCCTCCCAGCATACATGAGGGGGATTACCAATAGACTCCTGGCTGTCTTCAAGAAAGTGCTGGACAGGCACCTAAAGTCAGTACCTGACCAGCCGGGCTGTGGTTTGTACATCAGTTTGTGTGTGGCCAGCAGTAACAGCCTGGTTGATCAGACCCTGATCCACCACAACGCCTGGTCTCAGACCGAGCCACGAGGGCGTTGACCTCTGAAACTCTCTCCAGGTATAGTACTACTGCTTACACTTAGGACACACTACACATGCATGTACAAGCATATACACCTACCATCCGACTTACAACCTGCTCGACTTATGACCACTTGACTTACGACCGTGTTTTTTATGCCAAATTTCTGGGAAATAAACAACTATTTATGTTGTACACAGTGTTTATCCTAAACCTTACAGTATAAAATACAGTACTAACAGCATAAAAAGTAAAGTAAAACATGAAATACCAAAATAAAACAATAAAATAAAGTCATTACAAAAATGTGAGGTTGATATTCAGTAGTAAAGTTCGACTTACGTCCATTTCGACTTATGACCAGTTTCTCGGAACCGAACTCGATCGTAAGTCGGATGGTAGGTGTATATACACACCCCTCTGGGTTTTCTTCTATTTTCTTACTAGTTCTTGTTCTTATTTATTTCCCATTATCTTCATGGGAAAGTGGAACAGAATTCTTCCTCTGTAAGCCATGAGTGTTGTCAGAGGCAACTAAAATGCCAGGAGCAAGGGGCTAGTAACCCCTTCTCCTGTATACATTACTAAAGTTAAGAGAGAAACTTTTGTTTTTCTTTTTGGGCCACCCTGCTTCGGCAGGACAAGGTCAGTTTGTTGGAAGAAGAAGAATGTATTTTTATGGACCTTTCATAAGATTTTTTAAAAAGATGTGAAATATTTAAAAACATAAAAAACATGTGCTGATTTTTTTTTTTACATCTGGAGTTTATCTGGAGAGAGTTCCGGGGGTCAACGCCCCCGCGGCCCGGTCTGTGACCAGGCCTCCTTAGGTCAGTGTCCCAGGATGCGACCCACACCAGTCGACTAACACCCAGGTACCCATTTTACTGATGGGGAACATAGACAACAGGTGGAAAGAAACACGTCCAATGTTTCTACTCTGGCTGGGAATCGAACCCAGGCCCTCACCGTGTGAAGCGAGAGCGTTAACCACCAGGCCACCAGAGCCCATAGGTGAAGATAGCATTATATGATAAGGATTTTACAAATACAAACTTGGTACTGTGTTATTACTGTAATAACTGACTTTTTCCACTCCTGAGGACAAACAAAAACAGTCTATATCAGTAAATTACAGTACCCACCTCCAAGTACTGTACTGCTTGAGAGTCACCATGGAAGTCCCCTTGTACTAATCCTGGTAGCAAGGCATTCTCAGAGAAATATGTCCCTAGAAATAGAGAACACTAAAGAATACTTTTTCATTTCTTGGATTGTTTAAAAAAATGATTACATTTTCAAAGAACTGAACAAAGGCTAAGAGCAGTGAACAAAGATGCAAAGAAAAAGCACCATACAAGGGATGTCCTGCAGTAACTATACTATAAATCTTCACCAGATATTTGGGTGCACCAACTTTAGTCTGAACATGTGCTACCTACTGAATTTAGTATGAAAGAGAAGCAAAAGACTTCCTTCACTCTCTTGATACACTACTGATAAAGCACACTACTGCCCTCAAATTCAAAATCTACAGAGAGCCCACAAAGATAACCTGATAAACCTCTACTCACCACTATAGCATACCTAAAACCAACTGCCCTTATAAGTTTCTCTCTTAGAGCATATAGTATTTGCAGTCAGGAGTTACTCAAGGAAAAGTGCTTGTATAGTACTCATCACAGACATTTACTAACTGAAGAGATTGTGCAAAAAAAAAAAAAAATAAATAAATAAAAAATTCTAAGCAACACCACTGCCAGGAAAGAGTGAATCTGATATATGAATCATCCTACTTAGAAGTAACACTGCCACCACCATCTCCCCTGTCCTGAAGTCCAGCAACACTGGGATTGCTTATTAGACAAATGAAGCAATTAAAACATCACTGGTTCAATCACATGAAGCAAATGGATGCCATTGCTGATCTCCATTTCTTGAGGGATTCAAATAAAAATATATGGGAAAAAAATCATGAGACATTAACACAAGCATAAACAAAATAATTAAGTTTAACACAACCATAAATAAAACACTACAATGTAATCAATCATGACAAACATGCACATCATGGTTTAGAACAACTCTAAATAATCAATCCAAAAGAAGAAAATTAACAGGGAAATAAATGCTTAAAGTAAGCAGTCATCCAGAGAGTTGACAAGACACATTAGAATCAACACAGGGCATTGAAAATTGCTTCACCAACTACAAAAGCAGTCCTGGATAAAGCCAGACTACTCACCAAAGCGACAAAACCATCACAATTCTATCTTGCATGCCTCACATCATTCTGACTTCTACTTTTCCTCCTACTCTCACAATAATGGGGTATACTGTTTATTCTTGGATTACATTTTGATCTATGGTTGAACCCGAAATCAGTAAACTTCGTAATTCCTTGGCTTAAGTTATGCAACATTTATACTAAAGCATATTTTGTAAATGGGTCTGATTCGTAATTTTCTTTTTGCAACACCCATTTTATAAGATAGACACAAAACCCTTAAATATAAAGTTAACTATAGGATTTCACTCAAAATTTGATTAACTGATTTCCCATGCCCAATTTTTATCTAGACATTTTTATGAATGTCAAAAAAAAAAAAAAACTGATTATGTTGGCTTTTAAAACAGATAATCCTGATAAGTCAATTTTTTTGGCAAGATTGCATTACTGAAACCATACATTACTCATGTAGGATGTTACCAATACAGTGCCTATATTGAATCATTTGTGAAGAAATATCTAGCATGCACGTGAACAACTTCAGTTGCTTCAAAATTCCAAAGATTACAAGGAATTTTACTGATTTCTCAAGATATAATGCCTTAGAAGGCAGAGATTGAATATAAACACCTTTCAGAGGATTCATTATGCCAAATATGTCAGAGAGGATCAGACTCACAAAGTCAGTTGTAGCACTATTTACCAAATATGATCTTAATAAGTAACACAGCTCTAGAGTCAATGAAAAGATTCAGCAGTTGACTAAGTGCTACAGGAAACTGTACGTATAAGAAAATGAAAACCTGAGCTTTACAACTGTTATAGATAAGTACATGAAACGGTAACTTCATCTCAATACCCTTCTACAGGTCATGCAATACTTAGTATTAATCTTTATAATTTCACTAACAGATAAAGAGGTAGGTGATTTTGTCTCTTTTCACCTCCCAAGTAACTTCAAATGTCTTCCTTTCTGTGCCAAGATATGATATGCTAAACATTGAAACACAACGAGTGAAATTATATTACATAGCATGTTTTACTTATATTCTTTAGGAACTACCAAAATTAAAGATACCTGTTGACATAATGCATTTATTCAGGGTACAGGAAACTTTTTTTGTGTGTGCACTGCATAACCTAGGTAAGAATATTTAAGCAATGTCCTCTACTATTCAGTGTTCCATACACTACTTATGAAAACATGCACTATGGTATTATACAGTGTGACACAGTGTGTAAGATAAAAAAAAATATTACATACATTTTTTTAAACAGATATTTCTGCATATACAGCCCAAAAAATGGCTTTCAAAAAAAATTAATTTCACGGAGACTATTTTTTTCACTATTTATCTTGTTTAAAGTCTTCTCACTTTTAAATGTCTTTTTTTTAACCAGCCTACAGAATTAAATGAAGCTTGTTAGAAGTGGTTAAACAAAATGAAAGATTCTAATGGATTGGAATAGGAAATGGAATTATAAGAATATTTTATTAAAGGACATTTAAACAAATATTTCAATTTATATACAGTACAAATTAAATGTCATTTCCCATTACATCTAGCAAGAAAAAAATATTTTAAAAAGTAATATTAAAAATAGAGCTCACCATGATTCAGCGAGTTGTGAGCTAATGCTACAAACCATGCAATGCCCATAACATAGAGAAAAACACAAATAGGTCGATGATATTTGTTGAGGAGAGCTGGCAGTCTGCTCCGCTCCATTCCTGGGTCTGTCAAAAGCCCCATTTAAGTGATATGGACCAGTAACACTCTTCAATGCCTGAGAAATAAATGTGAATTAATTACTTAAACACGCACACCTTCTTTAGTTTCACATCTAAAGAAAAAATTAAATTTCTTTATAATACATATAGTATGATGTACTGTATTTTTTAATTACAGTGTACAATAAATTCTTTTGATGATACAGGTACAGTAGAACTCCAGTTTTCGCATGCCCCAGTTATCGGATGATTCGGTTTTAGATATTTTTTGCGCAAAATTTTGCTCCGGTTATCGAACCTTGATCCAGAAATCATACGTATCAGGCGCATCTGCCTGGGCCGCTCATACATTCGTGACTCACTCTTGGGCACATTAAATGTCTTGTTTAATGTTAATATTGACATTTTCATTAATCCATCTATGATATTTTCTTCAAGATTATATAAGAAACATGTTACATAGCATAGTATAAACATGCAATGTTTATATGCTATGTATATTTAATAATAATCACTCTTGGGCACATTAAATGTCTTATTTTATGTTAATATAGACATTTTCATTAATCCATCTATGACATTTTCTTGTATATAAGAAATATATTACATAGTATAAACATGCAATGTTTATATTACACCGAAGGGTGGTAGCCGGTGGAGTTTCCCTCCACCGGCTACCACCCTATGTTTTCTCTTTTTCTCTGGTCAAGCATTAGAGAAAACTGTATGAATCTGTGTCTGGCTTTACAATTCTCAGCATGAATTATTCATTACTTCTCCCTTTGTTTATGATGGCATCTAAAGGTAGGTGTTAGAAATGATTAAACTCAGTGAACAAGGTATGTTGATGATAATAATATGGCTCTGGGCTGCATTAAATATCATGTAGGGATGTAGGTAGATGTATGTATGTAGCCCAAGCTACCTACTGGCTACCTACCTCTACTGGCTACCTACATCTATCAGCTACTTAGTAAGTAAGTAACTTTATTTAGGTATACACAAATACAGTTACATAGATTATCATATCTTTCTTTCTTTCAACACACAGGCTGTATCCCACCGAGGCGGGGTGGCCCAAAAGGAAAAACGAAAGTTTCTCCTTTTACATTTAGTAATATATACAGGAGAAGAGGTTACTAGCCCCTTGCTCCCGGCATTTTAGTCGCCTCTTACAACACGCATGGCTTATGGAGGAAGAATTCTGTTCCACTTCCCCATGGAGATAAGAGGAAATAAACAAGAATGAGAACTAGAAAGAAAATAGAAGAAAACCCAGAGGGGTGTGTATATGTATGCTTGTACATGTATGTGTAGTGTGACCTAAGTGTAAGTAGAAGTAGCAAGACATACCTGAAATCTTGCATGTTCATGAGACAGAAAAAAGGACACCAGCAATCCTACCATCATGTAAAACAATTACAGGCTTTCGTTTTACACTCACTTGGCAGGACGGTAGTACCTCCCTGGGCGGTTGCTGTCTACCAACCTACTACCTAGGGGATTATCATATATAGCAGCATATGTGGAGAACCTAGGATAACCCAAAAAAGTCAGACACAGTGACTTCCTACAAAAAAGTACTACTCACCTCTTGCCCTACATTAAAACTACAAATATTTTAAGGTAAGTAATGAATGTGGAAGAGTTGGTGGATGACCACAGGGAAGAGCTAACCACTGAAGAGCTGCAACACTATAGTTAATCTTCAAAAATTTATATTTTGTTGGTAGACAGCAACCACCCAGAGAAGTACTACCGTCCTGCCAGATGACTGTGAAACAGAAATCTGTAACTGTTTTGCATGATGGTAGGATTGCTGGTGTCTTTTTCTGTCTCATAAACACGCTAGATAACAGGGATATCTTGCTACTCCAACTTACACTTTGGTCACACTTCACAGACATGCACATGCATATATATATACATACATCTAGGTTTTTCTCCTTTTTCTACATAGCTCTTGTTCTTCTTTATTTCTTCTATTGTCCATGGGGAAGTGGAAAAGAATCTTTCCTCCGTAAGCCATGCGTGTCGTATGAGGCGACTAAAATGCCGGGAGGAATGGGCTAGTAACCCCTTCTCCTGTAGACATTTACTAAAAAAGAGAAGAAGAAAAACTTTATAAAACTGGGATGCTTGAATGTGCGTGGATGTAGTGCAGATGACAAGAAACAGATGATTGCTGATGTTATGAATGAAAAGAAGTTGGATGTCCTGGCCCTAAGCGAAACAGAGCTGAAGGGGGTAGGGGAGTTTTGGTGGGGGGAAATAAATGGGATTAAATCTGGAGTATCTGAGAGAGTTAGAGCAAAGGAAGGGGTAGCAGTAATGTTGAATGATCAGTTATGGAAGGAGAAAAGAGAATATGAATGTGTAAATGCAAGAATTATGTGGATTAAAGTAAAGGTTGGATGCGAGAAGTGGGTCATAATAAGCGTGTATGCACCTGGAGAAGGGAGGAATGCAGAGGAGAGAGAGAGATTTTGGGAGATGTTAAGTGAATGTATAGGAGCCTTTGAACCAAGTGAGAGAGTAATTGTGATAGGGGACCTGAATGCTAAAGTAGGAGAAACTTTTAGAGAGGGTGTGGTAGGTAAGTTTGGGGTGCCAGGTGTAAATGATAATGGGAGCCCTTTGATTGAACTTTGTATAGAAAGGGGTTTAGTTATAGGTAATACATATTTTAAGAAAAAGAGGATAAATAAGTACACAAGATATGATGTAGGGCGAAATGACAGTAGTTTGTTGGATTATGTATTGGTAGATAAAAGACTGTTGAGTAGACTTCAGGATGTACATGTTTATAGAGGGGCCACAGATACATCAGATCACTTTCTAGTTGTATCTACACTGAGAGTAAAAGGTAGATGGGATACAAGGAGAATAGAAGCATCAGGAAGAGAGAGGTGAAGGTTTATAAACTTAAAGAGGAGGCAGTTAGGGAAAGATATAAACAGCTATTGGAGGATAGATGGGCTAATGAGAGCATAGGCAATGGGGTCGAAGAGGTATGGGGTAGGTTTAAAAATGTAGTGTTAGAGTGTTCAGCAGAAGTTTGTGGTTACAGGAAAGTGGGTGCGGGAGGGAAGAGGAGCGATTGGTGGAATGATGATGTAAAGAGAGTAGTAAGGGAGAAAAAGTTAGCATATGAGAAGTTTTTACAAAGTAGAAGTGATGCAAGGAGGGAAGAGTATATGGAGAAAAAGAGAGAGGTTAAGAGAGTGGTGAAGCAATGTAAAAAGAGAGCAAATGAGAGAGTGGGTGAGATGTTATCAACAAATTTTGTTGAAAATAAGAAAAAATTTTGGAGTGAGATTAACAAGTTAAAGAAGCCTAGAGAACAAATGGATTTGTCAGTTAAAAATAGGAGAGGAGAGTTATTAAATGGAGAGTTAGAGGTATTGGGAAGATGGAGGGAATATTTTGAGGAATTGTTAAATGTTGATGAAGATAGGGAAGCTGTGATTTCGTGTATAGGGCAAGGAGGAATAACATCTTGTAGGAGTGAGGAAGAGCCAGTTGTGAGTGTGGGGGAAGTTCGTGAGGCAGTAGGTAAAATGAAAAGGGGTAAGGCAGCCGGGATTGATGGGATAAAGATAGAAATGTTAAAAGCAGGTGGGGATATAGTTTTGGAGTGGTTGGTGCAATTATTTAATAAATGTATGGAAGAGGGTAAGGTACCTAGGGATTGGCAGAGAGCATGCATAGTTCCTTTGTATAAAGGCAAAGGGGACAAAAGAGAGTGCAAAAATTATAGGGGATAAGTCTGTTGAGTATACCTGGTAAAGTGTATGGTAGAGTTATTATTGAAAGAATTAAAAGTAAGACGGAGAATAGGATAGCAGATGAACAAGGAGGCTTTAGGAAAGGTAGGGGGGGGTGTGGACCAGGTGTTTACAGTGAAACATATAAGTGAACAGTATTTAGATAAGGCTAAAGAGGTCTTTGTGGCATTTATGGATTTGGAAAAGGCATATGACAGGGTGGATAGGGGGGCAATGTGGCAGATGTTGCAGGTGTATGGTGTAGGAGGTAGGTTACTGAAAGCAGTGAAGAGGTTTTACGAGGATAGTGAAGCTCAAGTTAGAGTACATAGGAAAGAGGGAAATTATTTCCCAGTAAAAGTAGGCCTTAGACAAGGATGTGTGATGTCACCGTGGTTGTTTAATATATTTATAGATGGGGTTGTAAGAGAAGTAAATGCGAGGGTCTTGACAAGAAGCGTGGAGTTAAAAGATAAAGAATCACACAAAGTCGGAGTTGTCACAGTTGCTCTTTGCTGATGACACTGTGCTCTTGGGAGATTCTGAAGAGAAGTTGCAGAGATTGGTGGATGAATTTGGTAGGGTGTGCAAGAGAAGAAAATTAAAAGTGAATACAGGAAAGAGTAAGGTTATGAGGATAACAAAAATATTAGGTGATGAAAGATTGGATATCAGATTGGAGGGAGAGAGTATGGAGGAGGTGAATGTATTCAGATATTTGGGAGTGGATGTGTCAGCGGATGGGTCTATGAAGGATGAGGTGAATCATAGAATTGATGAGGGGAAAAGGGTGAGTGGTGCACTTAGGAGTCTGTGGAGACTAAGAACTTTGTCCTTGGAGGCAAAGAAGGGAATGTATGAGAGTATAGTTTTACCAACACTCTTATATGGGTGTGAAGCATAGGTGATGAATGTTGCAGCAAGGTGAAGGCTGGAGGCAGTGGAGATGTCATGTCTGAGGGCAATGTGTGGTGTGAATATAATGCAGAGAATTCGTAGTTTGGAAGTTAGGAGGAGGTGCGGGATTACCAAAACTGTTGTCCAGAGGGCTAAGGAAGGGTTGTTGAGGTGGTTCGGACATGTAGAGAGAATGGAGCGAAACAGAATGACTTCAAGAGTGTATCAGTCTGTAGTGGAAGGAAGGCGGGGTAGGGGTCGGCCTAGGAAAGGTTGGAGGGAGGGGGTAAAGGAGGTTTTGTGTGCGAGGGGCTTGGACTTCCAGCAGGCGTGCGTGAGCGTGTTTGATAGGAGTGAATGGAGACGAATGGTTTTTAATACTTGACGTGCTG